CTGGTAACCGCAGCTCTCTCGCGCAAGTACTTGGCTCCGTATCATTAGCTAAAGTGACAAAAAATACTTAAAATTCCAACCCCATTCTTAAAATAGGGTTACAGTTGTGTTGAAGTCTAGGTTTTGGCGTATGTTGAATGTACTGGTACCCTCAAATCTGAACTCCGGGGATCAAAAACTGACAACTTATGTTAAATCTATCTAGCCCAGTTAACAAACAGTTATAGGGAGATTCTCCAATAAAAAATTAGTAGAGGTACCTAAAACGTCTAGGTGCAATGAAAACGACGCTCAATTGGACCTTTATCTGTTAAGAATTCTTACTCACAATGGTATTTTACCGACAAACGGAGACCACACTCACGAAGCTTTTCTGCCTTTTTCGGCGTCATCAGGTGGTGGTAGGTCAACTCCAGTGTAACAGCGGATATTGCCGCCACACTCCAGTTTCGAACTCGCTTCTAGCCCGCCAGAGGCGAACGCTCTAACCTTTGAGCCACGGGTCCGTCGTGTTGTCAGTTTTTGATCGGGACCATATGTTATTAGGTAATTCTACTCCGATCTGTTTCAGATAAGGGCAATGTCAATATAAGCGAACATGCGTGTCCCAGGAAATAATCGAGAGGAAGTAGATGTGATCGCTGGGACAAGCCTTTTATTCACTTGATGTTTCAAAATCCTTCGTGGATCCATCATCACAGACAATAGCAGAAACTAGTTATTTATACATAGGGAATTGCTGTATTTGTAGGATACCGTCGCGAGGCTACTGCATACCTGTTACAATTAACGGCTTCCCCTATCGAGGATAGCTGTCTGCTTGTACTCCAATTGCTTGATGGTCAACGTTGGGGTCGTGACCCGCTGAACATTAATCACTAGTGCTGGACTTGAACGTGATGATTGTTCTGCCATTTGGGTCCTTGGCGCTACCTTTAGACGACTTGTTGGCCTGTGCGTTTCCCAAGTGGCGACTTGCTTTGGCTAGATTGAACCCCAGCACCGAATGTTGGTTGGACAGGTCGGTCCACTTGTTTATAAACTGGGTGCCCGTGAACCATGCCCAATCCATATTCAGTGCTGAGACTGAATTTGGCCAAAGCAAGTCGCCACTTGGGAATTACACAGCCCAACGCGTCGTCTAATGCCTGCGCCGGGGAACCAGGTGGTCGGCCAATCAGCACACCCAAGTACACCACGTGGGATGAAAGTTCAGCGGGTCACGGCCCGCACGCTGGTCACCAAGCCATTAGCGCACAAGCGGGCGATTATCCTCCATAGGGGAGGCGCTAACTGTCATAAGTGTGTGGAAGCATAGCGACTTCGTCCTATAAATCCTACAACTCCTTGTGTATGAACTACCTGTTTCTGCTTATGTTTCTGATGAAGGATTCGCAACGGAGTTCCAAACGTCATGCGAATAAACTTCCAGTTCCAGCAATCATATCTATTCTTCTCAATAGGGAAATTTTTGAGCTGGCCTCAGGGTAATCGAACCCTACCCACCCTGGCAGCCGTCAGCTGCGTGTCAGTCTTTGAGAACGATATTGTACATATGTTACGTTATAGTTGTTGGCGACGATCATCAGCCTGAAGTAAGCATAGACGGTCACGAAGTAAATGTGCCAGGACTTATCAAGCATCTGGGCATATCCTATTCTTACAGTCTCAATCTGTCAGATCACTGTGCCCTGACAGTCTCGAAAGCACGCCGAACTACCGGATTTATTCTTAGAAATTTGAAGACCATAAAGTTTAGAACTAGCCTTTGTACGTGAGACCTAGTCTTGAATACTGCTCGCCCCTATTCAGTCTTCTGCGCACTTGTGAACGGATGAAAATAGAATTTGTCCAGCACGTCTTCACTAAAAGTTTTCTTCACTTCAGAACACCGTAACCTAGCCCACCAACAACGGTGTGAACTTATAAAACTCGATCCCCTGTGGCTTCGTAGATTACAGAAGGGTCTATTTTTACCGAATGAAGAAGTTCTCTTTTTACTGTTTAAACTTTTGAATGGCCGTACCTTTAATTCCCTCAGTACCATAAGGCATCCCAAGCACTCTCGGCGCGCCAGTCATCAAAATGTATTTTTATTTCTTCATATGGCATGCACAGTTAGATACCGTCAATTCTTTTCAGTAAACGCCAAAGCAATTAGGAATAAGCTGCCCAGGAGCATTAAAACTCAGCAAAGCTACCCTTTGCTTAAGAGAGCTATCACAAGTTTGTTACATTCAGGACAACTTTCACGGATTTTGGGTGCTGTCTCGGTGGAATTTTTCTTTCACTCCGATGGCGTTCGTGGACTTTGAACCCTGCCAGGCCTCATGCTAGAGATAATGGTGCTGAATCTGCAGCCCGAAATTGGCTAACTCTTCTTCGCCGACAAAAATTCAAGAAAGACTAAGAACACTTCGTTCCTGTGTCAACCCTCCCCGTCCCGAACTAATGTCCCTAAGTGATCTGAAGCTTTTTTTCTGCTAAATTGTCAGCTCAGTTTATAACTTACACACCTTTCTTTAGTATCGTACCTTTGAAGGCAGGTTTTTTCACTTGAAAGGAAGTCCTTATTTCGCCCAGTATTGACCAAACACAAAATTGAAACAAAATCAATACTGACTGTTTTAGGCTTTTTTCCTGTCTTTGAGGTTTTTGAAGGCGCCCAAATGGTGCTTTACCAATAAACACAATTTTAAAAATTGTAAACTAGCAAAATAAATAAATATAGATCTATAGAATCAAAAGCTACCTGGGAACGATACAATTGGCGTGGACAGGAAGGCGTAGCATGCCGCTCCAGGTCTTCCCTTCGAAGGGTAGACCTTCCTGTGCAGTAGACGGCTCCACAGTCAGCAAGAAGTCAAGCGACTCCAAAAAGGTTCGACTTTCAGCACCTGCCTCACAGAGTATCCGCATTTCAGTGGAACTCCGTGGCTGAATGGTGCTTATGCAGCTGAGTACAGTGAAGGGTCCAAAGGGATCCAGTGGACTGTTTCTAACCTGAATAAAATGACAGCAGGGACTCGAAGTAGAGTATGAAACTTGAGAAGGAGTTTCAGTCCTTCTAAAATAGGTGAAGTTATTATAACCCACCGAAAATGCTGGAAAGAAGCCGGACAAGCGTGCTGTAAGTGCTGCATAGTTGAGAGGTTGGTTCATCACTGTCAGGGAAAATCAAACTACTGTTTCTGCCTTCAATGATTTCATTAGTTAATCGATCAGCCAGTCAGTTTATTTAGAAAAAATGACAAAGGCTATTGAAAACTACATTTATACCGTATAGGCGTACGGTATTTGTAGGTAACATGTCCAAGAAACTGTCAAAAATAATGTCAACAGAAACTTTATTGAAAGTAAGTTAGAAGTACGGGAATAAATTGTAAATCGCACAAGCAGATAGTTCTTAACCAGGAACTCACTGGGGCTACGTACCATGCCCTCACCTCACTCGCTACGAAAAAATACCGTATAAACCTTATTTCACGCCCGCTCACATATTAATGTGAGCAGCTTTGGATCAAAATGCCATCCGCCTGAGAGATTTGAGGTTAGCCGTCATTCCTAAAAATAATATAGCAACTGGAAACTCATGGAGCCACCTAATCGCATCTAATTTTCTGAGGGCATTTTTGGCTTTGTGACATTTAAATTACTAAGGTGTCGTTTCTTAGTTAACGCCAGGTACTAGGCGGAAGGTTCTACCCAGAGACTGTGGTGAACAAGACACGTGGAATGAACAACACACCATGGAACTTTTAAGGGAAGAGAGCTTTCCGTTTACAGTGTACTTACATTAATTGTGGGGTCAAGTATCGGGGCCTTTATAAATTATGCAATTTGATATGAAGGGTGGCAAAACACAGTTCAACTAACCTTGACAGAGAAGTCGGAGTGGTTTTGAAGCCGGAGCGATTTCACTGAGGTGGAGCCGCTACACAGGGTCCCAAAGTCCAGGACAGATATGGGCTCTTTGTCCACTACCTCCACAAATGGTTTCACGCAAATGCAGATGCATTCGAGTACTAACGTACTAGCCTTACTATGGAATGGAAGATAGAGAGCGTAATTCGGGATCCGAGTTAGGTGTTTTTAGGCGCAGAAATTCAACACGTTTGCGCGAATTAGCACCAGAGCGCGTGGCAGTCTGGTTAAAGAATGCAAATCACTAGACGAAAATCCATTTACGATGGTGTGCTCTGAATGAACCCGCAACTTCCCTCGACACAGTTGTGGGAATGAGCAGGTGTGACATTTCGTCTACCATCTAGTTTACATCTCCCTTAGGAGTTTGAATGATTTACGTTTGTGAGAGTGGGCACTTTTGAGTGGCAAGGACCTTGGGACAGACGAGTATACTATTAAAATTAATGGTAATAGGCAATGTATGCGTGACAAAAACGTGCGGGTTTGAAAGTAACCCACCCAAACAATCAGCAGGGCCAGAAAGCTTGGGAACATTTTGTTATAACGGTGGCAGCTGTGGTATAATCGTCTAATTACGCCTTTGCCTCACACGCCTAGGCTACTCAGGTTTACACAGAAACAAAAGGCAGACAACTCGGAATCCATCGAAGTGGGTATGAAATAAAGGCCACCGTAAGAATGACCATAGTATTCTAAATCCCCATCTTGAGAAGACCGCAGCCTTCCCAGCCACGACTTTTAGCGCGTTTTGGTAGTTTCCGTCTGCACCAAAGGATTTACAGGGAGAAAATGTGCTCATGCGCCTTGGGGATGTAATTTTCAGAATCAACCCCACTCTCCCGTATCTCTCCCATGAGCTAGTCGCCTGTCTCAGCAAGTCAGTCACATGGTGTTGGGGTGGGACGCAGGTAACTGGTGCGGCGTAAGACTATGCCTAGGCGTGCCACCATAATGGAAGTTTATTATGACATCCCTGGATTCGGTGCAGCGTGGTTAACACGTGCCGTGTTCTAGTCTGGCCGCGTGTTATTCTGGCGCATCTCTCCCATGGCCAGGTTTTGTGGCCCAAGACGTCCGACTCATAAACTGCGTAGGCTGTGTTATGTATACTGCACGAAATGGAATGTTGAAATAAACTTCTGAATTGAAGGAAGTTCTCGAGGGATGGCTTAAATCTAATAATTATGAAATAGATTAGGAGGTTTTAGCAGATTTACTTAATTTATTTGACCCAATTGCTTGGGCAGTCGGCTTGCTGTTCCGTATTGGTGGACTCCATACAAGCGGAAAAGTTGGGAAGATAAAACCGACCCAAGTGTTATTAAATTCACAGCGCAATGCCTGGCGTTCGTAACTGAAGTGGT